GGGAAGGAGATTTGAGACGATAGAAGAGATTCAGGCAGAATCGCAGATGGTGCTTGATAGGCTGACAAAGAAAGATTTTCAGGGATGCTTCCAGGCTTGACAGCGGCGCTGGGATCGTTGTGTTCACTCCCAGGGGAACTACTTCGAGGGTGATGGATGAATTTAATACCTGAGATAAGTGTACGGGTTTTTATACGCGCACCTCGTATACATCATAACTAACGAGCTTGGAAAAGTGACGTTAGATGGATCAGGAGTAAACCAAATGGAATATTCATCCCTTAAAAACTATCTAATAGTTTATACATGTTAAAAATTTCGCCAGGTAAATTCTAGAATGGCGTCTTCTCTCGTATTCAGTTTCAAATTTCTTTCAGATGTTATAGTAAATTATTCGCACCATTAGCTCGCTTGCTGCTACCCTCATGAGTTACGAGGGTCGGTGATGGCTGGAAATGCGCTGTGGCGAAGAAGCTTCAACACTAATCGATTAATCGAAACTCCAAGCAGATCTATGTTCACCGAGGTATTTCGAAAAGAGGTACAACTGTGCAATTATTGCATGAATACCAATCTCCTTTATAAGAGGGACTTTTATTTCACGAAGTTTAAATTAGTTTTGTAACTCTGACACTTTCTGTGTAATTACGTGTAAAGACGACATATACAGACTAGGTTAGTGGAAAGTTACGGATCACTTCAGGATGTAATTACTATAGTTGAAATAATTTCACCCAATCCTAAACAACATGAATTAGCCCTGATAATTGCATACTTTGTACTTGAACTGAACCACAGTAGAACGTTCTGTAATTACCTGCGTTAATTAGCATTTATAATTAAATATAAGCAGGTATTTTTTTAAAATTCCTACAGGCGTTCTAAAACATACTATTAAAAATTCCACATTTCTCAGATTCGTTACATTATTTCTGTCTTTCATAGTTGAAATATTATTGAAATTACACTCGTCGGGATTGTTAAATATTATTGGTTTATTCCACGACTACGTTGCTGTAACTGCCAAGATGTAGACTCATGGATTATCTGATGTAGACGAGTAGATATTGCAGGGATTCGAGGCATTTTAACCCTTTCAAGCTGATAAAAAGAGACAGAGGGAGGTGAAAAAGACAGATACAGAGTCGAAACAAAGAGGGAACTGTAGGGAAGGAGTGTGAGACACTTTATTTCGGGGAGGGGGGGGAGAAAGATTGTCTTATAGTTAGAAGGTTCGTAGGTAAATTGCATGCTCTTGCTTCTAGTAGTAACAGAATAAAAGTGAAAACATCCATTATCATGGCAATGAGTTGATGGAGGCAGCAAGGACTTTGGTGAACTTCTACCAGAATATACGACGCTACAACCCAGAAGACAGCCATCTTCAAAATAATCGCTGTTTATATCGAAAATCACATGAAACCAATAAATACGAAATAAATATTTGTTTTGCTGAAGTAGGTTGGATCTGAATGGATAAAATTATAGGAAACAATTCAAGTAGACCTCGATGGTAGATATTTTATTTGTAGTGTTCTGTCTGCCGACAGGTCCATATGAACAGGATCCTTCCATCCTTTTCTCGGACTGGGACCTGTTCATATACGTTCTTGGCAGATGATCCAGAAGTGGTTTGCCATTGCCTTCTTCTGTGTGTGAATAGAGTAATTGTTGGGATGCCACGGAGGAAAACTCCGTGTTGCCTAGACCACGGCCTTGCCCAACACAAGTTATAAATTCGGTGACCGCCGGGAATCGAACCCGAGACCCCCAGGATTACAAGGCCAGCGTTCTAACCGCTAGACCACCGTGGCGGTTATGGTAGATATATAGGAATTATTTTACGTCACATACTATATATATAAAAAAACCCACACAACATTAATTCTTAAACGTCACTACAGCCTGTGGCAACTTATGATCGTCTGTCGTTTTAAACGTCGTTGAACACAGTGGAAACAGTGGGGTCAACAGAATCATCAAAGAGCCGGACTTTCGGTCCATTGCCTGCCGAATCCTGATACTGACTCCCTCATTGACAAGCTTCGTAGGGGCCCTCGTTTGGATGATCGATGTGTCTCCCTCCGAAGGCCTTCGTGTGGAACGCCACTCATTCTGCATCTCATCATTCATTCCAGTTTACGCGTATGAATACGCACCAGTTCTAATTTTTGAAACTACGCACGTGGCATTACGAAACATAGAAATGGTTCCTTCTTAGCTAATAACAGCAGACATCAAAATAAATTAAACTGCACGTACCTTAAAATTTAAATCCACTGAAACATTAGCGTCAATTTGGGGGGGTCGAAACATACGTCGTTCCGCTTAAGTAATTAACTTACGTATAATTAAAAAATACAGCAGCAAAATTATGAAATTACGATATTTGAATTTCTACGACACAGTTGGAAAGTCCCAAGGTGTTTCTGCCCCAACACGTATTCTTGCGAAACAACCGACAGACAGACGCAATTACGTCTGGCGTTTTCGTATGAGGGAAAATTATAACAGAAAAGAATTACCGTGCTCTTAATAACTTTGGCTTAATTATTTAGTACTCCTTACCAATGCACTTAAAAGCACGCAAACATTAGAAAGAGACAGAGAATTAGTCTGCGTTACCCATTTGCGGAACAGCAAAAATAATTAAGATAGCGCTTAAACGTGCCAGATAATATTACACGTTTGTAATGCAAAAATGATCTAAAGCACAGTACGAATCTGTATTGAATTTTACTCTTGTGACAGAGGCTAGACGATTATTTTCACTCCTCCCAAAATCAGATCTATTAATATACGATTAATAACCGTTATGGGGAGTATCTGTGAGGTACTTAACAGATTTGGTACTTAAATAACTTAACAGTTCTCGAAATAAAACCATTAGAAATATATATACGGTATTATTATTTTTAAATGATAATACAGAATGCCTCCCCCCTAAAAAACGCATATATATTATAATACGAAATGTTAACCTTGTTATCTATACCTTGTTTTATGTTTACGACGGAAACCTAGTGTGCTTTACACTTAACAGATGGCACGGCAATATCTTTTCCCATGATTCATATAGGCATAATGGCGGAGAGTCGATTGAGTTTCAATGAATGTGTGTATTTATCTTTTTTTTTGGGACAACCTGTAGTTTAAATTTTAATAATTGAGGCCTCCGAAGAGGCAAAAATGGCAGTATATTTTTTTCTCTTACTGACAATGTGACACTTGTAAAGTTTCTCGTTCGAATAAAGTTTGACGTTGCCTTTGAACAAACTCGAGACATCCGTCAGCGAGCTGCATTCTTGAAGGTCACAAGAAAATCGTACAACGTTGCAACACTAACAACGGAGACTAGACGAGTAAAGACAGCTTAGAACTCGCACCGTAACAAAGCTAGGACAGCTGTACTGATGGCCTAAAGACGAGTATGAAGCTGAAGGGTGGCAAAGTCCTTCTGTAACCTTGAAACATGGTCACAGGTAATTTCTGTCTGTCCGTCTCCCTTTTTATAACAGCTCAGCTTTTATTCTCACTTCTGAATGAGGTCTTTGAGAAAAATACGTTTGACATAAAAATTCCAACATGCCTATTGTAATCTATATACAAAGATAATCTTTCTTTTAGATAATATAAGATACTTTTGTCAGTTTTGAACAAACCTGATACAAAATAATGTTTAAAAAGAACACGTATTTTGTTGCAAAAGGAACAGATTCTCCCCATATACAGCTCACGAACCACTGTGTGCTGAAAATGATTCGAACGTGAGGGTTTGGTCACTTTAATGATCCCTGGATCGGATTTAGGGCGTGTGTACAGAAGAGAGGGAGTGACTTCGGTGGCTTAGAATCTGATCACAAGGGACTTAGATAAAAGCAATGCGTATCGCAGACGATCCTTGAAGGATTATAATCTAATATCTGGTTGGATCCAAATAAAACGTTATGGCGTAGAGAATTGGTGCAGAGGTTCTAAGATGGACTGGAGCCACTAGACCCCTCCCTCAGGAGACCACAGTTATAATCCTTTTGGGCCATATATCTCGAACATTCACGACCATCACCACAGAAGTTTGCCGTACGCTGAACAGGTTTGATAGAGATGGTAAAGTTGCGTCATATTGTGATATAATAAATATATATTATTTAAATCTTGTCCGTCTAATCACAATAAATTCTTATTAAATATTAAAATATTACAATAATTAACATTTAAAATATTTAAAATATTAAATGATCTTCTTTATCGAAATATTCGATCGAATATTTCGATAAAGAACATTATTTAATATTTTAAATATTTTAAATGTTAATTATTGTAATATTTTAATATTTAATATTCGATCGAATATT